CTGAAATTAGTTTTGAAACTAGCAGCATAAGGTATCGAAGTCAGTAGAACAAATCTAGGTCTTCCTGCAAATGGTCATTTCCCTCCAGGATATTCTTCCCCTGCCCCATAACCTCACTTTACTTATCTGCTTTAATTTGTTCTCTATTGAGCTGATAACTGCAGTCAGTCTTGGTTTATAGCTTTACAGATTTGCTCAAATCAAAAAATGATAAAAAGTCCATGCATGAAAAAGTTAAACAGCAAGTGTTTGTTACTGTTGTACCCCCCCGGATTACACAGACATGATACTTTAAAAAGGGTGTCTTACTATTTAAGCACCTTAATACTGAAATGTGCGATTCCTATGGTATTTAATAACACTTAAGCTCCCAGCAGGTCATTACAAATTGAAAGAGATGTTTTAGACAGTACGTAGAATCACTAGCTAAACTGAACTCAATTTTAACTGTGATTCTGCCAATAGCATGCTGCACACGCAAGAAAAAAATTGCAGCACTAATGATCAAGATGATCAAAGGGATAAAAAATGGTGGATTGCCATATAAGACCTGATATTTCTTAACAGTAACTAGAAAAAACAGTGGATTACAAGCAAGATAGACTTCTAGACCCGATACCAGGATGTCATTGGGTCAATATGCCCTCTTTTCTGGGTCAATGTACCTCTGGATTTAGCTCACAGACCATGGATTTAATGAGATATTTTGTAAGTGACATTGTATAACAGTAATACAATATCACTTACATCATTACACCTATTTATTTTAGGCCTGGGCAGCCTTGCCTGGACTGTTGCAAAGAGAGTTTCAGATGATCCCAGTCTACAGCAGACTACAAAAGGCCCTCATTAAAACTAACAAAATATTTCAAACTGATGAAAAACAGGTAGAAAAAATACAAGGACTTTTCTGAGGTGGATGAATGCCATTTTTCCTTCATATGTTGACCATAACAGGGCTAGTTGAATTATTTCTTTCAATTAAAAAAACACATGAAAATAAAGTTCACCTATGTTTTTGCAAATGCCCTTCCTCTTTTCTTTTCTCTTCTCTTTTTTTTTCTTTGCTTTGCTTTTCTTTTTTCTTTTTTTTTCCTTTTTTTTTTTTTTTTTTTTTTTTTTAAAACAACCCAGAATTCTTCACAGCAGCCTTCTCCAATCTGCCCAATTGAAATTTCTGCACAAAGAACTCGTAGCTGTCAGGAGCTTCCAACATCAGATGTCAGGGCTAATATTTTTGGCTATCAGTTCTATTGGTGGTGCAACTAATATCATGTACGCAGTCTAGTTGAATGGGCTGTTGACAAGGCTACCACAATCTCATGAGCCTGAGCAACACCACCACAGATTCATTCCACATTTATGAAGACTACATTATCCAGTGTCGTAATAATAAAAAGAAAGTCTCTGGTTACATTGGCTGCTTACAAGAAGATTCTCTTGAGAGTTCACATTTCCATTTACTATCATGATAGTAACTAAACCACACAAATAAATACACATTTACTCTAGCCCTGGTAGTTATTCATACTCCTTCTCCCTGTGGCTAAAAGCAGAGTGAAAAGGAATTTTTCAGATGGACTTTTCTGAAACCTTCACAACCAAAGAGAACTTGTGATCACTCACGCAAGATTCAAACATCCTTGCCACCTTTGTCACCACAGGGTAATTACGAGGGCCAGGAAAATGCAGCCAACTGGCAGCCCACATGAAGCAGCATTAAATTAATGGCTCATCCTAGTTAAAAGCCTGAATTCTATGCTCACTGAAGTCAATGACAGAGCTCTTACGCAGTCCAGGGTAAAAGGACTGGGCCTCTAATGTCTAGGTTGCAGTAGTTTTCCTTTAACTTATCCCAAAATGTCAAAATTCCAAATAGTTTTTGGAAAAGTGCAGCTCATATCCCCATATTGCACATTTTTATGAGATTTGCAGCCAGACATCTGACTCTGGACAGTTTCAACTTCCATTTATTATGAATATGGTCACTAAAGCACACAAATCCAACCAACTAGACTTGCTCAGAAGAAATTCTCTTGAAGGGAGGTCAGCACTATTTTTGTCCTTCCCAATCCACTCATACAAGCACTTTGAACAGTAAGGGAGTCTCCTAACATAGCAGACAGTAATGTGGAGAAAACAGCTGTTATACTGTTAGAACAAGCACTCCAGTCAATGGTTAACATAAATAGCTAGTCAGTACACTGTGCAAATGAGCGGAAAAGCAAGAACAGAAATCACCTTCCACAGGTCTTGTAACAACTTAAACTCTTTTGCAAAAACTCTGTTATCCAAGCAGATCACCTTCACACTGGGAGAGGGCAGAAGAATTAAACTGTTGCTACATCCCCTTGTTCGATATGTGTTCCACTTATTTTTCCCTGCATGGGCTGTCCTGCAGAGACTTTACGTGCTTGGAAACAGCTGAGGATGCACTATCCATGTATATCATATTCCCCTCTAACATGCCTTGTATTGTGAAACCACACAGAGTCTGAATATAAGCAACAATAAGGCAGTTTCAAGTCAACAGATTTGCTGCTGTTCTTGCAAACATCTTTCGGTGAGGTAGTAAGAAAGAAATCAGTCTCCATCCATATCATGGTAAATGGAGTTACAAATAAGCTTTGTGGAACCGTGCTTCAGCTGCTATCTTAATTTTATCAATCAAAAACTTTTAACCTTTTTTTTTTCCAGTGCAACCTTTTAATCTTTTCTGTGCATTCAAATAAATTTATGTCATTAAATATATATATAAAAAAGGAATATCAATCACTTACTATTTTAAGATTACTGGAAGTGTGTAAGTTAGAAAACAAAATGATGCAGCTTCACTGAAGCAGCAATAGATCATGGAATATATTATATTTTAAGAAACAGTATGGCTTGTGAAAGAGTACATCTCATAGAAATTGTTAAAAGATCAATCAGCTATTAGTGAAAATCCAGTTGTATTTAATCACATATATATCTCTACAACTAAAAAGCCTGATCCCACAGTCCAAATGAATCGATGGAAACCTTTTCATTGGCTTCACTGAGCTTTAAATCAGGGCACTAAATGCGAAGAGGATGAAACCAGTAAAAACATTTTCTAAATTATATTTCAATATATTAGTAGAAATAAGAAGCAAAATCAAGTCAATTATACTATGTGGAGCGTAAAGTAATGTAAATCTATACGTTCAGCCTCACAGTGACTAATCAACATGACGGATATTATCAAATGCTAGCAAGAGAAACACTTCCTGCGCTAACACTATAGTTGTTAGTATTCTAGTGTTACAGTTTTATTCATAATTGCTAGTTCTGAAAGCTGTGCTAGAGGTCTTGAAACTCTACTGTGAATGACTTGAAATACTAGCTATCTTCATTTTTAAAGTAAATTTAGCCTCTTGAAAGATATCTCTTGGGCAAAACTGGGGATTAAGTTCTCTGTAAATCCTGTATTTGAGTAAGCAAGTTGACACTGAAGCTATTGTATGAACTAATGTTACTAACCACAAAATTTTGTAGTATCATTTACAAAATAACTCAGGTTCACTTCTAAAAGAAACCATGGTAGTATGGGAAAGTTCCAAACAACTACGGTCTTAATGTTTAACGATAACTTTGGTTCGGTATTTCAAATTCAATTTCAATTCTAAGCCATAAACCAATTGAAATAAATATGGTGATGGTTTTATATTGATAGAATTATTGCGTTTTGACTTTGCCCACAGCTATAGGCAACCTTTAGGGAAAATACCAAATGTATCCATCATAAATATAATTTCGCTTTTATACATTATTTTCTGCCATGGAGAACACAAGTGACTACTAACATTACAAGATTTAAAAATTCTTGGCAAGCATATTTAAAGATTATAATTTGTTGTTATGCCTAGGCTGAGTTTTTTTATGGCTTTATAAAATCCTTGAAGACTAACAACATAACTTCTTGAAAAACAATCTGAATATATGAATAAATTTATAGATCAAATGAATAGAACTAATATATTAATAGTAAGTCAGTATCAACTCCTTAAAAAACAGCTACTGACAGGTACTCCTAAATAGCAGGCACATGTATGAAGAACACTCATCATAGTGTTAAATAATTTTTTGGAGAGTTTCTCACATTTGTGAATCTCCAGTTTCAATACAACATCCATCCATTTACATCAAATGTAAACAGCAGCAGTTTCCCCCTGATTTTAAGATGCCAATTGTTGAATTTTATTTTTCTGAAAACAGGAAAGCAGTTTCTCTAATTTATGAACATATTTTAAGTAGCAGAGATAGTGTTGATAATATGTGACAGATACTTAGCCATTTTATCTAAAGCAGTACTCTTAATTAATTAACCAGTCCTGCTACACCTATTTACCCACAGCATCAGGAACAGAGACTTTGTTTCATAACTACAATATGCCAATATTATCGAATGTGGGGTTTAGAATGTGTTAGGCTACTCAAATTCTTTTTAAAATTCAGACAGGAAAAGATGAGATTTTTTATGAAGTAGTGCCATTTGTATATGAAGGAGGTAAAACTAAAACCACTGCAAGCATGTAGAAACATAAATAATTTGGATCTATGAGTTTAAATGCAAGTCCTCCTGCAAATAAACTCGTATTATAATAGTTCACAAAATACAGTACTAAAAGCCTGTATCCTCTAACAACTTGCAGTTGCGCCTAACCATGTATACTACACATTGAAGTAACAGCGAGTGCAGAGGGGGCCCAAAGTAGAGCATACACATCAATCTTTGTAGAATCAAGGCCTCAAGTAATAAATTCCTAACTACGCATGTCACTAAACTTGAAAAAACTGTGTGTGAAGTTTCTGGTTGCTTCCAAAAGTGCTTTTTCTTTGATAGTCTTCCATATGTTGTGTATATGTATACTTATATGTAGGTATATGTACACAAAGTTATTAACTTTTTAATCACTTATGAAAATAAGTAATCTTAGTAATATAATATGATGTTCAAATACAGTATTTTTGCTACTCACCTGTCTGTTACGTTCATCCATAATCCTTGTAATCTGAATCTTTTTTCTCCCCATAGTCCCCGTTTTTTTTTCTCTCCTTCTTCCTTAAAATTACGTATTTTTCCCTTCTGTAGTCTTCCTCTTTCCCGTTTCCTCAAAACAAACCTCCTTCTTCAGCACTTGCACTACTCAGTTCACAGTCCCCTGCATCCGTTCCTGCTAAACACAGAAAGGAAATCAAACGTTATTACAAAACTGATAACTAGATGAAAGTTATTATATGGAGCTGACCAACCATCCTTATTATAATTCAGTGTACAAGTAAATTGTAATAAAAATTTACTGCATCTATAAAATAATTAATGCATAGAGAAATAATAATTTAATTCAAAGGCTTCTTTTTATGAACAAACCTACTGATATATCAAGAAACGAAGAAAAGGACTGAAATACACATTGCCAAAATTTGTAATGGAATTAGGTGTCTCTAGTTTTAAATATCACTCACCCTCTAATATGAAGAATTACCTAAATCAGTAAGTTAATGAACCTTTCTGTACCTACGTATGCTAAGTAGGCCAGCTAATTCATTTCTGAAGGGAAAACAATCTTGTGTTTTGACAGCAGAGGTGATAATGTCCCTCATTATGCAAATAGGATGGACCTTTATTAAAGTGTTAGTTGATATATGAGAGATGTCAGCTACTTTAAATCCAAAATTTTAAATCTTATTCTTTAAGAATATAGATTAGTGCAAGTATTACTGAAGATACTTGAAGAAAACAGTAGTGCATTTTCCCTCATTTCATTTCAATGTAAATTCTGAAACATTCTGACGAATGATTTATAACAAGCAAACATGGATATCTTTCCTTATAAAAATTCTTGCACCAAAAGACAAGCTATATAGCACAGAATAATAGGGATAGATGACAGTTTTAAGAATGTTTTGAAAAATATTTTCACAGTTTTAGTAATGCATGGATACTAGCTCCCTGAAATTTACAATACTGGTTCTGTCGCAAAACTAAGGACAGTTAAATGCAATACTTAAAAATATAAAACACAGTACATGTTCCATATTTCACAAAATGTCATAAATCACAAAATTAGTTTCTATCATATGCAAAGCATTCTTAGCAATAAAAGACTTGATAGAAATAGAAGAAAATACAGAAATTACGTTCAGTCTAGTACTAAAGGAACATATGCAGGTTTTTTTCCCTTTTTAACCTTTGTTTAGCATATGTTTACATTTACATATTTTGAACAAAACCACATAAAGTTCTTTTAAATACAGAGGAGAAAAAAAAACTGAATAAGATTAATGTAAAATGATTTTCTAAAGCTTTTACTCTAAAACCATAGTGTATTAAAAATGTTGCCTTGGAAATAAAAATTTAGTAATTTTAAAACAGAAGCTGGTGTTCCCTTATTTATTTTAAGCTTGTAGCCTCGCAGCCAACCTGATAAATTCTCACAATATGTTACGTAACACTAAGCCGATGTCCTGGCCATTTAATCCATTATTTGGCTGTGATTCAAAGCTACTGAGGTAGAAAAGCTAGACCTCACTCATTCTGATCTTCAGTTCTCTCTTGATTTTCTTTGCATACATTAAACTTAAAGCTGCTCTAGTGTTTTATTGCTCTAAGAAAAAAAACCAACAAGTTAACAAATCAGCAGTCGGTCTGAGTTTCCTAACTAGCTGCTATGATATAACTAATCTGCCGGCAAAACACATTTTCTAATATAATACTTTTTTACCTTTCTGTGCATGAATGCCTTTTTATATTATTTGTTACCCATATTTATACATATGCCTAAATCATTACCATAACACAGAACATGGAACATGGAACAATTCATATTGCCAATTTAATAAAGTGCAAAAGCTGCAAAATTTTTCTGATGCTTTTTACTTGTTTGAAAACAGTTCAACTTCTCACTGCTTAAAAAAACACAAAGGTGCTTGATCATATTTACAACAAAAACCAGAAGTCCAAAACTTTGAAATAAATTAAGTTGATTAAATGTATTTATAAAACTTTCTTTTCCAAACAAAGCTAGGAGACAGTCTTATCTGATATTCAGTGTTGACAAACAAATCCAGCCTATTTTTAGAAACAGTTTTAAATTTCCTCAGACTGGGTTTCTTTCCTGTTTTTCCTATAGTCTTACCTCCGATACAAAGAGCAAGTTAGAATGGTGTTTCCCATGCACATGCAGGACCCAAAGGAGTCTAACAGGCTTTCTCTGTAACAGTAAGCCAATACGCTAATCCACAGCAAATGCATATGGAACAACTTCCTTTCCTTTCATTCAGCCCAAGCCAGGGGCACTATCGGCTTACAGCACTACGCCTGCCTAAGCTCTTGTTCACTGCAAGGTGGAAGGTCAGGGTGGACAGATTAGAGCGGTGGTGACAGGTTAGGAAGGATGAGAGCTGCTCTGCAGATCAAGATGCTGGTGCTGAGGGAGTTCAGCAAAATCACTGAATACTGAGAAAAATCTACCAGGAAGGACAAAAATCTTAGTGGAGGAGCAATATGTTGAGTCCCTCCCGCACACTTACCAGTTCCACAGTTAAGATCAGTCTTCAAACAGCAAAAGCTTTTATAGATGGTTTAAAGTCAGAACAATTAAAACTCATATGATCTACACAAAATTATCTTAAATTCATGCAACACGAAGCAGAATTTTGTTCTTCATTAACTGTAGTAATCCACTAACTATGCTAGTTTTATTTTAAGTGGAAAAATAATGTGCAGGAAAATAAAGTTGAAAGGGAGGAAGGGTGATTTGGTTGTTAAATATTATCGTGTAACCTGAGAGAACCTGAGGGAGAAGGCAGAATGTGTTATGTCATATGTATCCAACATACAATTTGCAAAGAAATACAAATTTTCTTCAACAGGCAGCGGTTAAGTTTTTTTTTTTCAGGGATGAAAAAAATCTCTCTCCCGTTTACTTTTAGCTTACTAGTCTAATTTCAAACAAAAGCTTTTCAGTTTTCCTAGCAAATTTATTTATTTGTAAAAAAATAATTTTCTGCTATTTTTACTGCTACTAGAAACAAATTGGGAATGCTGTGGTATTCTCTATCTCTTAAAAGTGTACTCTTTTACACATATATACGTTTCAACACATATTGTTTCATGTTTCATACTCTTACTATGCATTTGCCTATAGTTCTATTAATTTCATTAGTACACATATATAGCAGATAACTGGACTGATTCCAAATCAGTTAGATTCAGATGAGTAAATCAAGAGATCTGGTTCAAGGGCTATAACCTTCAAAGGCTGGTTACTTCCGAGTCCAACAGAACGTAAAGAACTGTGGAGACAAAAAAATCCCCATGGCTGCTTAGGACTGCACCAGTGTTCTCAATACTTTTTGAAAGTTCTTGCAGGATTAAGGATTACAGTATTAAGTATTTAAAGTTCCTGTTAACTGCTAAATCATATTTCCCTAACACTAATAAAGCACACAAGTTAGAAAAGTTGAAGGTACTACAAAACTCAAATAGTACTGCAGGCGTTCCTTATCCAAGAGAATCTAAAAAGAAACTTAAAGTAATTCCAGAAGCTTTGTTGAAGTACCTCTCCACATAAAAGAAACCTTCCAACTTAATGACATAGTCACATGCAAACAAATTGCTCTCAGAGAAACACATAGTTACATGCTATGGTGTTACAGTCTTCAGCATTTTTTCTTTCTGCAAACCCAAACATAAAAAAAAATAAATCAGACTGCTTACAAAAAGAGGAACTTCATTTTTTGGCGGGCTTCTGTTCACTATATGATTTGGCAGAGGCAGTGGTAGCTGACAGAAGATTGATGTGAGCCTTGAGAAGGGAAAAGAGCTAATGGACAAACGCAGCAGATCACTTGACCGTCCTGTCTCTCTTTTTGTACGTTCACACACAGACACATACACGCGTGCACACATACACATACACACATGCACACCCGCTATCCCTTCTCTGCAAGACAGAAAAATCTTGATAGAATGGCAGGAAACACGCACAGAGTGGTCAGGGAAGGATATGATGTCAGCAACCACGAACAATAAAAGGTGTAAAGGTGCTTCCTTCCCTAAACTGTTCCAGAAGTGCAAAATGGGAACCAAAACTCTCCACTTCCTTCTCCGAGCAGAACTGTCTGAATCTGCTCTGCTGCAACACCCGAGACAGAGAGTTCTTTGAACAGTCACACCAGGGGCAATAAGGAGTATCAAAACAGGAGAGTCAAAATATTTAATTTATAAACAAGAAGGCAGCCAGAGAAAAGCTACGTTAAAATGTGCTAGGGTTTACTATTTTCATGGTTGCTTTACAAAAGAAACAAACTTGCCATAAAGATGTCCCTATTCCATTAAGCAGCTTGCATTCTGAGAGGATTAATTAGGTTAAAACTAAAGAACCAAACCAAATATTTTCTTATTATCCTGAGGTAAGGAAGCAAACAAAAAAATACTATCCCCATTCTCTTACCATTCTTATCTTGATAAATAAAAGTAACTTCAATGATCTACGGAATCTTTTTATGCAAGGCTTTCTGTTTACTCAAAAGAGTTTTGAATCAGATTCTAAATAAAAATCTAAATGTACTGAGTAAGAGTACATCAGCTACTTTTCAGGTGAAAAACTAGCTGCAAAAACTGCAACCTAACCATGAAAAATCCGTAACAGCAGGGAACACATATTCAAATAAAATGGTCACTCAAACGTTTTCTGTAAAAGCCCTGGCTGACTATGTTCTATATACAGACAAAGACAGCCGCATAGTGAAGAAACAGCTGGGCATGCCGCATCAAATAAAGACACCAATCATTTTGTGTCTGTCACCTTGAGCTGGATAAAGTTGAAAGAAATAAAGAAAAGGGTGAAAGTGACGATCATCTCTCATGTTATCCGACCGAGATCAGCTGACATTAAAGATAGAAGTGGTCCTTCACATTCCGTGTGGTTTGCTTGCATGGTCATTATGGAAGACACGGTTTGGGTCATTAACAGGAAGATTATGATAAAATTATATATGTCGTCACCACAGCAATACATCAGTAAAGCAGAAATGGCATGATCTACAGTATGGTTATCCAGGCAGAAAGCCATGCAACAAACGAATCTTGAGTCATCTCAAGGTTTCAAACATCTGTCCACAACACCCTGATTTAGAAATTAAACATAACCTACTTTTATGCGTTTTGATC